CACCAGCGCCTTTACAAAATCTTTCATGATCTGGCCTGTTTGCTCTCCCTTAATTAGTTATTCCTCTCACCTGCCCTCTTCCCTCCCAGCCTCAATTATAATTTATTCCCCTCACCTGTTTCCTCTGGTTTAAATTCAGTTCAGCCTGAGCATTCAGTGCCAGATCATTGCTTGTCTCTCTGTCAGTCTTTCTGTTCAGTTTTCATTTGGTTCATGTCCTGGATCCTAGCTGGAAAGAGGGCTTTAGTGTTTGTCTCATCTCCTGATCGTCCACTGTTCCTCCCCCGTGGAGTACTCTGGGTTTTTGGCTCATTATGGGGGGAGGTTCAGTTTTTATCCAGTAAGCCTGGCTCCAGGGAGGAGACCAGTTTAAAGTCTTGCTTCAAGTTCCGGTTCCTACGTCCTGTCTCGGCTACCCTCTTCCACTGTGCCTGCCTGTCTGCACCTGATCCTGTCTGCTCCTGTGCATGACCACCTGGTCATGCTTCTGGTCCCAGTCAGACTCTGAACCCTCCTGGAAGCCTGTGGATGCATGGAAGTCTGAATCCCGCCACCTGTTTTTGTCTGTTCTGGATCCTGCCTGTTTCTTTCTGTTCTGGATCCCTGACCAGGACCGGCTTCCAGCATGACCTCTGGAACTGCAGCACTGGGACATTTTTGGTCTGGACTGCTAAACCAGGTAAGTGACTCACTGAGAACATCATCTTCAGTCAGATGATCGTGGTCACTTACCTGTGTTTCTCCTACTACAGAATGTCTGAGATTGGGCGGTGCCCCGCCCCCCGCCTGCAGTGTCTGCGAGCCACAGCTCCGCTTTTGTTTTGTATTTATTTGATAAACGTTTTGAACTTTCCTACTGACTGTCTCTCCTAAATACTGGGTCCATCTGTCCTCGGTTCATGACAAAATCTGTTTCATTTTATCCTAGAATGACTGTTTCATATCCTATCTTCTGCTTCGCTTCTCTATGTTAGACTCTAATTTGCCCGGGGCCAGCTTTAGCCTCTTCCGGCCCATCGCCGTTATTTCCAAGCAGGCCTCTCCGAGTTACTGCAGTGCTCCTCATCTCCCTTTCTCAGCTAGCAACAGCAAGCTACTGCCTCTGCCACTGTGGTTCCTTAGCCACAAAGGGTAGCATAGCTGTCTCTCTCTACAGGTGTTCAGTGTCCTGCCTGAGCTCAGGAATGCTTTCTCCCCCTTACCTCTGTCAGGGTAATTCACCTCTCTGTTTTCAACACTCTGTTATGGACTGAGGACAGGAGAAAAATGAGAGTCCCCTCAGAAAAAAAATCCCAAACAAAATCACAATAATTTGGAACTTGAAATCTGTCATCTTCATGATAACCGGGCAGTTGCCATTTGTGGCCATAGTGTATGTCTAGTTTATATAGATGGTTTTATAGATAGTATTTTGCTAGTCTCTGTAGGATTGTACATACTGTAGGCCATACTTGCTGCAGTCCCGTTTGAGCTTAATGGTGATCTCTACAGTCACAAGTTTTCAGCTCAGCACTGCCATAGAATAAAAGATGTCTGCCTTGACAAATGCGAACCCACTCCTATGTAATAATAAATAACAATTTCTAAGGTAAGGCAGACGAAGACTGGGACCTTCAGTTCATAAGTGACAAGTGATAATAACATACAAATACAGAGGTCCCTGTGAAAGTATTCAGCCCCCTTTGGACCTTCTGTCACATTTCAGGTTTCAAATATAAAGATTTTTTTTGTGGAGATACAACAATGAGTGGGACATTTTAAATTAAGTGGAACGATATTTATTAGATATTTTAAACTTTTTTGACAAATAAAAAACTGAAGAGTGGGATATGCAAAATGATCTCTCCAGAAGTTCAGTGAGGTTCTCTGAATTATCCAATGTTTAACTAAATGACTGATGATGATAAATAGAATCCACCTGTGTGTGGCTAAGTCTCTGTATGAATGCACCTGCTCAGTGATGGTCCAAGAGGTTCTTAAGTAAATGTTTCAACACAGCTACATTAAAAAAGTCTGCAGTACAAGTCGGTTGCCATCTTGTTTACTTGCAATTCAGATTTTGAAGGGTGTTCCAGTAGAAATATAGAACTTGGAAGTTGGAAATTTTGACTTTCAGGCCAAGTATATTGGACCATTAGCTCTATCAAGTAATGTCAGTGTCAGGTTGAGTGGAGACTTTGAGGAACCAGATGCAGAGATGAGTTTTGATGATTTTATGAAAAGTCCAACGGCAACAGAGGCAAAAATCCAAAAAGCAAAAAATATTGATAATCAAACATAAAACAAGTTGTGGTGCTGGGGTTTGGTGTAATGTATTGCGTGGCTCAATAGATCCAAAAACAAACAGTAAGATTAATCTGCTTGTTACTTTTGCATCCTTAAACATTGACTAATACCAAAGTATCACAAAAGAAAAAAATGTTGGATTCATTGTATTTTAATCTGGATATCCATGACTTCGTTTAGCTAATCACAGCAAATACTGTGCTTTAACATAGAACAACTGCACATTAAGATCTAATGAAACTGAATAAAATAAACTTTTTAAAGACTCAGAGTACACAACAAAATGTACTTAAGAGCTAAAAAGAAGGATTTTCCATGAAAAGCCCCACCAATCATTAAGTTAACTGTTGTATTAATTAAGCAACAAGAAATCAAAATTTGTCATATATAGTTTGTCCTATAGCGACTTTGCAGTAACTTATATTTTAATAAACCTAAGTACGCTCATTGATTTGTATTATTCTGTTAGTAGAACCTCTGTAGAAAATAATTTAATTAAATATCTCAACTGGAATGGATTGACGATGATGATATTAAAATGACTGATACATCCCTGCGCTAAACTTAATAAATAAATCAAATCAAAGCATTCACTGCATTCTTAGCTGCTAATAAACGCCCCCGTTTCTAAGACAATGATCATGAGTCAGAATTCCTTCAAACATCTAATTAGTGACACTGCTTCGTTTCGTAAGTGTTCATACGTGTTCAAGTGTACTTCAAGGCTTAAAAAACAAAAGTATTCTAAGCTGCACATCACATGTTAGAAATTTTGTTCTGTATGAGTTAAAATAAAAAACATTAAAGTATACAAAGAAATACTTTCAAATCAACCATAAAATATATATTTCATGCTATTACAGAATTTAGGTGTTACTGTCCATCTTTTAACTGGAGAAAACACAAAGGCTTTAAAAATTTGAAATAAAATCATTTAAAACCGACTCATGTCATCTCAAGGCACCTTACAGAGTAAATTGAACATATTTGGAAATGAATATTCTAACATTTAATTAAATGTTATAAGATGACTTTTCTTTTCTCTTGCCACGTGACTTCTATTCTAATGGCCTGTGGACTCCACACGTGAAACCAGTGGAGGAGAACATATTAGCCTATATTAAGTGTAAAGGTGCGGTGGTTTCTTTAGAAGTTGTTAAACCTACTCTTAACCCTGAGGCAATGAATGCTAACGATGCAACAATGATAATGACTCGAGAGAATTCTGCAAAGCCTGAGAATGAAAACAATAAAGATCTCAGTAGCGTTTGCATATTAACCATTGTGCCATATCCAGGATTAACGACAATTATAAACACAGAACAGACGTCAAGACATCAGTGTTAGTTTCAGATTTCACACTCAGCATTAATAATGAGTCAGCTGACCTGAAAAGAAATAATGCTTGGAAAAACTCCAAATAAAACAGTTCAGCTGCCCACACAGAGAAATTTAAGGCCTACTCGAGAAAAGTGTGGTGATTATTTTTATGATTAAAATTACTTATGCTGTTCTCTTAAATTCCTAAACACATTTGTTATATTTAATTTAAATGGAAAAAATACACACTTATAAATTCACATATATATTTTTAAACCCATTCTAATGCATTGTATTTATTAATACATAAATAACCCACTACATAACATATTTTATTTTAGCCTGGTATAATATTGAAGATTCTAGAATATTGTTTTGTTTTTTTTCAATCAGCCATAAGCAGAAATTCCTTACTAACAGAAATAAACCTAGAAAATGTCACTTTTGGTGTAATTACACTGTAAAATGTGTTCTTAGTTTATTTGGTTCCTGAAGTAAATTAACTTTTATATTGTAAGATTTTATTCATGCTATGTGATTTAACACACAGCTTACAAATATATTCAGCTCTTACTATATTTCAACAATTGCATTCTTGGAAAATGTAGACCAATTTCACTTTCTTGCCTTTAATTTAGTTCAAACATTCATTAAAGGTTTTTTGGTAGACATTATCAATCTGGTACTGCTCCTATCAATTGTGTTCGATAAAAGGGGAGGCATGCAATAGAAACTTTTGAGCTGATTGGGTGAAGCGAAAGTCCTCACCTACCAAAGTTTGGTTTTAGCGAATCACAGCGAAATAGCAGCAGAGGCCACAAGAAACCATAACATATTATGGTCTTAATCTCTTAATGTTCCTCTTTAAGGTAAAATTCTTGGATTCAGAAAAAAAAAAAAAAAAAACAGGTGACCAAACATTCAAACAATTATATCATTTCCAGTGTATCAGTTTAATGCTAAATAGAAAGAGAGATATTAGAAATAATTCAAAAAACAGCCTAAATATTTGACAATTGCTATTATCTAATTTTTATAACACTAGCATTAGGTTTACTGAAGGCAGTATTTTTGTTTAGGTGCTATAATGCATGAAAAGAAAAGAAAACAACACTGATGTAACAGTTTTATTGCATTTTTACCTCCAAGGTGAAACGTCAGCTTCCCAAATGACCTATAATTAAAAGATCTGCATTACAATATATATGTCATGAATACATGGAAGAGCTTCCAGCACATTTATTTTTTGGTAGTCCTTCCCTGCTGCTATTAACTAAATTTTGAATTCACTCATGTGAACTTGCTAAACCTGAAGTACATTATTGTGGGTTGGGCTTAAAGTGTTACTGAGTCATACAGAAGTGCATAAAAGGTTGATAGAAAGGAAAAAACCACAGAGCAAATGTAGCATCCATAAGTGACTTGTGCAATGGAGAACCTGGAAAGAAATGAAGCGCTTAAGTGAGTAATAAAAAAATAATAATTAATTTACATATATGCTTTAATCATTTACCTGTATCTATATAATCAAAGGAAAATCATTTAACAAAGACTCTAAACCTGTTTAATGTTTTTAACACTTTGCTGCTGCCATTAAAAATGTCTAATAAATGCAAGTTGTTCTTTATTCATGTTGGTTTTGCACACTGTGCAGAATGATTAAGATATTTTGTATATATTCAGTCTGCCACACTGAGTCAAAAAGCCATTGAATATTATACTCTCCTCTAATATTTTTAGGATTTTTAAAAATGGTTTTAGATAGAATAACTTGTTTTAGCCACTATTCTTTATCACAGTATAACATCTACCATCTATTGCAGGAGGCCATGGGACACTTGCCGTGAGGTTCCGATAATTGAAGATGAACACACACCTTGGAAGTTCCTAAAGCTTCTAAAGATTATCACTTTGCTTGCAGTAGCAATCATTGTGTTTGGACTGGCAATATGTAGCAAGGTTAGCACCTTTTTAATTGTTAATTTATGAATTTGTAATTTTTTTTTTTTTTTTCTGGATTGAATCTCATCCTTTTTTAGATAATTGCAGATACAGTAAATATACTTAAGTGGTCACTGATGTTCAAAGGGCTTGGAATATTACCAGCAAATAAAACATGAGTCTCCATCTTCTATTTTCCAGGTTTCTTTCCTTCTCCTCATCACTTTATCCCATGAAGATACAAAGACTATCCAACCAGATCATAAACCTGTCTTATTGTTGTGTATTGGTTGCGCTCTTATTGCACCTAGTGTTCTTCTGCTCTTCAAAAGCATCTGGAAAGGATGTTATAAATCATCAAAGGTGCCGAAGAAAGCATCTGTAGCCCTGGTGAGCTAAATCTAATGTTTCTTAACAGTGTCTTATCTCTTACAAATCTCTTAAACACATAATGATGTGGTTTATATCCTTGTTTCTGTAAAAAAATTTTAACCTGTCCTTTTTCTTTGTTTCTCAGGTTTTGTTCTTCGAGCTTCTAGTTTCTGTGGGGTTGGCCATTCTTACCATCGTTGCAATGCCACACTTGGACATTGTCACCAATGTGACGATTCTTAATGGTGTGGCTGTCCTCCCTGCATTCTTTCAAGCAGTCGCTCAGTGTACTGCCAAAAAGATAAATGTCTCCCTGCTTCCCTCTATTCTCGGCGTCTTGGCTATACTCACTGCTTTCTGTGTTTTTCTTGTCCTGTACATTCTGAAAGACCTTACAGATGTGCAGACAGCAACTTGGGTGGGTCTTGCTGTTGGTGGCTGCTTCTTTGTGTCTTTTAACTGGTGGGAGAACTACTTTATGCTCATCTGTGTGAACAGCAAATCAAAGTTCCTTAAAAGTCTTTTTGAGGACTTGACCAAGTGTCAGAACATGCTGCACATCCTCTCCAGCTTACTCAGGATTGCGGTGACTGCCTGTGTGCTTGGTGCTTATGTCCCTCTGGCCAACATGGACTGGGACATTGTGACCTCCATTCCAAGCCGGGAAACAAGAATTGTAGTCATCACCATTGGAGTCCAGCTAATCTCCTCAGCACTCTGCCACTGGTTTGCTTTGGCAGCCTTCAAGATGCACGCTATACGGAGATGCTTCATCATACCTTTGTACCTGGCTTCACTGGCTGTGATGGTGTTCTACATCGTCCCTGTGATTGTTTACTTTGAGGACTATAAATTAAGCCTGAACACAACTGAAAACATCAACTTTACAAGTTACTGTGCCGAAGCCGTGAATGGAAGAAATCTAAGTCTGATTGGTAACCTGTACCCAGAGCTGGTTTTGGACGTTACGCAAACTCTGTGCTTCCTGAACATGTCAGAGATGGTTGACATCGGCTTACTGACGGGTAAGAAAAAATTGACTAACTTATTTGTTATAAAAGCAAAGTCTTCAACGGGTTTCAAAGCAAATGTAGCTCCCTAATAACCCACATATTTACAGGCCACATTGCTGTTACTAATTTGTTATCGCTGTTTATCCATTCAAGCAGTAACTTTTACTTTACATTTTCTTCTTCCCTCTTTAGGTGCAGCAGCTGCATGGTGGTTTGGCCTTGTGCTGGCCACTATCCATATATGGTTCTTTAACGTCAAACGTATCCAGAAGACACAAGACTTTTTCATTCGGAGGCTCTATGAGGGGGCCTTTATTGAACAATCTTTACTCCTCAACACCAGATTCCAGATTCAGACAAAAAAAGGCATGAAGAAACAGTAAGTTGTTTTGCATATGTTATGCACCCTTTTAGCTCCTTTTTTATGGACAGTAATTGTAGTTTTAATTTAGTGTTTTTGGTTTTTCTTGTTACAAAAATCCCATTTATTACAGAGGCTTGTTTCTCACATTTACAAATCTTGTTATATCAAGGTATAAGGAGGAAAACATCCCTGCTATGGTGTATCTCTGTGCAACAATGTGGCACGAGACCTATGAGGAGATGATGAATATAATGATTTCAATTTTCAGGTAACAGTAATTACATTAATATCTCTCTGAAAAGTCATTTATATGAAAGAAAAAAGCTTTTGAACTTTAAAACGTCACCTTTATAGTTAATTAACAAGTATATCTAAATCTCTTTTAAGCAAACATTGCAGGGAAAGTAGTTTTAAGTCCAACTAATAAAAAAGATGAATTTTAGATAATGATTTATTTTGTCTTCTTTTCTACCAATGAAGACTAGACAAGTACAGACCAAAGATAGATCCAAAGTTCAATGATTTCACCTTTGAAGCCCATATCTACTTCGATGATGCCTTTGAAAGAGTTGGAAGAGATCAGGATCCAGACTTGAATCGTTATGCAAAGGACCTTGTAAGGATCATCACAGAGGTTTATGGGTAAGAATCATATTAAAGTGCCCCAATTTACATTTCCTATATGTCACCAGAATTTGTAATGTGTCATTAGAATTGAATAATGACAATGTTTCCCATAAACTGACCAAATTCTTTTTGTATTCTTTTGTCTAGCAAGCTTGTGTAGGCCTTACAGACTCTTATTTGGTATAAAAGGCTAATGATTATGTCCAAATGTTTCTTTCTTTTAAAGTTTGTTGTTAAGATCTGCGATGGAGGCACTCTGTTTAGATAATATAAGGAGTGTTTATTTATTATTCTCTGTCTCCTTAATTAATAAAATGTTCTTCAAGCTGGATAATCATTCCGGTGATATTTATAATAAATCCTTTTTAAACCTGTTAAGTTAATGTTACTCCTTAGAACCAACAAAGACACACCTTTAGAAGTTTTAAAGCAACACTTTGTTGGTATTATAATTTTTCATTTTCTTTTTTCATCAGCATTTTCAAGAACCTTGACAAAACATTCTTCGAAGTGCAACAACAAATCCCTGATCAGGCAATCATTGAGACACCATATGGAGCTCGACTAGTATTTGAAATGCCTCATGGGAATTACATTATAGTTCACTTCAAAGACAAAGAGAAAATCAGAAAAAAGAAAAGATGGTCTCAGGTAGGCAATAACATATGGATTATCGGAACCCTTTCACTGTGAGCCTTTCCTTTGTTAACTATTATATGTTTTCTACAGATTATGTATCTTTACTATCTTCTGGGTTGGAAACTCATGGCCAAATATCACAGACGCTGGAAGTTAGGATGCAATGAAAAGGACGTCATTAAGGATTTGGAGGTGAGATAGTGTGTTTTTTCTGATTTTTTTTTTTATCTATGCTTGAGAAAAGGATGCTAATTTTATTTTCCAACAACTGTTAATGATTATGGAATTAAATGTACAAAAACAAACTATTGCAGAGAGAGAAGCACAACACCTACCTCTTGGCTTTAGATGGGGACACAGACTTCCAACCCGCTTCAGTGATGCTGCTTATCGATCGTCTTAAAATGTATCGTGGCGTCGGAGCAGCATGTGGCAGAATTCACCCTACCGGATCAGGTCTGGACCAATGAGATCAGGGCTAATGATGCACTGTAAAAAAAAGTTATGGTGAGGTTGTCAACCATCTGTGTCTGTAATCTGCAGGTCCTGCTGTTTGGTTCCAGAAGTTTGAATATGCTGTCAGTCATTGGCTGCAGAAGACAGCTGAACATGTCTACGGCTGTGTGCTGTGCAGCCCCGGATGTTTCAGTCTATATAGAGCAGAGGCTTTGATGGATGATAATGTGATGAAAACTTATGCAACCAAATCTACAGAGCCCAGTCACTACATCCAATACGACCAAGGTAAAAAACATTGAAATGGGCCAAAATATTTCAACATTCTAATATTAAATAATGCAGTTAATACTACAGCTTTAGGCTAAATTTAATTTTACATTTGAAAAGTTTCCAAAAGTTGTGAGCTCTGCAAACCATGGCTGAGGCTGCTCTGTGTGTGTGTTCTCTACATGCAGCATATATTACACAGATTACCTCTCACAGCTCAAAAACACAAATGTTTAATCTACTTGTGTACATAATTGTCCATGATTTGGTTTATTGTGTTACCTTGTGATTGTCAAAAATGTTCTGTTGGTTGCAGACCTCTGTTGTATGCAACTTCCCATCAATGCTCCTGTTCAGACTAAATGGATATAGGAAATGGATGAATGCATAGATTTGATTATCTAATGCAGAAATAAATCCAAGTTTATCATTGCATAGACTTTTATGTCATCCCTAACATCTAAAAACGTATAATTTTTTTTGCAGGTGAAGACCGTTGGCTGTGCACTCTGCTACTGAAACAAGGGTGGAGAGTAGAGTACAATGCAGCATCTGATGCCTACACCAATGCACCGCAGGACTTTAAAGAATTATTCAACCAGGTTAGTGAAACAGCAGCAAAACATTTCTCATTTACTTCTTATACCAGGTTTATTATTTATGGCTTATCGCAGATTTAGAATTCTTTGAATTTTTATAACAAAAGAACTTTGAGTTAGAAAAATAAAATACTGTAATGGGCCATCCTTGATGTTTATTACCAGAAATAAATACTTCTATTGCTTGTTTTCTCTGGATTGAGTTTTTATAGTAGAAGTCATGTTAAGGTGTATATTCTGCTCCTAGTTGAGGACCTAAGTGATGTTGGTGCCCAGAAAATAAAAAAAATTAGACTTGCACCTCCATTCGAAATTCATCTTTATGTCAGAAAGTCAATAATAAACCTGCACGGGGTTTTCAGAGCATTAACCAAGGAGATCTTGACTCTTAGCAAAGCTAGAATATTTTAATGTTATAACTGATTTTACAAAATCGATAAATTGTCCAAGAAAGATGCTTAATGAAGAGTAAAAAACAGATGAAACTTGAAAAATGAATGTCTTTTTTTTTTTTTTTTTGATTTAGCGAAGAAGATGGGGGCCTTCTACAATGGCAAATATTATTGATCTACTCGGTTCCACCAATATTGTTTCCAAGAGGAATACATCCATGTCCAAACCTTTCATGCTCTACCTGCTCTTTATCCTGATCTCATCCATTGTTTCTCCATCGACCATCATTCTCATGATTGGAGGTAACTGTCAATGTTTATGTGCTGTCAGTGGCCACATGTGAAATGCTTTTACAGGTGTAATATTTAATCAGTTTAAGGATATGTCTTAAAAGTACTTCTGATGTGTCCAGGGAGCCTGTCCTTCCTCTTGGAGATACATTATGCTGCTGCTCTGATCATAGCTGTGATACCCCCAGCCATCTACTTGGGTCTTTGCTATAAACTCAAGACAGACACCCAGATCACTATTGCAGCCGTGATGAGCATCATGTATGCATTCCTTATGTTGGTGGTGGTCATGTCCATTATTGGTAAGTACAAATGTATGTCTAGTCAATATATTAATTTGGGTTTAGCTAATTTGCTTTTACTTTACATTGTATATATTGTGTTTTCAAACAGGTGCAATGGTGAGGGATCAAACCATTCTGACACCCAGCAGCACTTTTATAGTGGCCATGTCCATCATTTACGTTGTCACTGCATTGATGCATCCTCAAGAATTCTTTTTAGTGTTCTATGGCCTTCTGTACATCCTCTGCATCCCCAGTGCCTACCTCCTGCTCATAATCTACTCTATGGTGAATATGAACTGTGTCTCTTGGGGCACTAGAGAAGCTAAACCTGCTGCAGGGGCAGGAACACCTGGAACCAATGTCCAACAAAGTCATTCAGAAAGAGGTAGATATATAACTCTCAGAGGGCACAATGCTAGAGTTTCTTTTTAATGACAAATAAACTGATACTTTAATTCTCCTCTTTTGCAGCTAAAACCACCTGGAAGAAGTTCTGTTCATGGATGAAATGTTGTAAAAAATCCAACCAGACATCAGAAGTTGAAGAGATCAGCATAAGGCAGGAGAATTTGGATCCAGAGCCAACGACCCCAGAACCTCAACCCCAGAACACCCTTATAGATGATGTCTTGGAAAACGAACAGGAGTAGGTTTCAAACATATGAAACACAATTCAACTACAAAGTAGGAGTGAAAAGCAGTGAATAGTACTAATGATTTACATTTTTTTATTTTTAGCCTAGAGGAGATAGCTTGTGACCCTCCAGTTCAATGTAAGTACAAAAAAATCTATGTATTGTTATAATTTTACAGTGAAATGCTATAATGCTTGTCTAAATGATTCAAAATCCATAATAGTTACAAATTATTATTTCATTCCTTGTGTTGCATAGCTTGGAAAAGAAAACTAGAGAGCTTGTCCACCGACATTCAGCTACAAGAGGCCTTTCTTGATGAGGTGATTGTCTTTTTGCTTGGAAAACAAAGCCTTTAATCTTAAACAATGTGTTGACTGTTAGAAATGCATGATATCCTGTATTGAATTCTGTTTGACAACTTGTGCACCTTTTATTCATATATCCAAAAAGTGAACCCAACTTTATGTATCAAAAAAGATAGATATGTATATATATATATATATATATATATATATATATATATATATATATATATATATATATATATATATATATATAGCTAACTTTATTCATGGGACAATTTATTGTTGCAGGATGAGGAACAGTTTTGGAATGAGCTTATAGAAAAATACCTCAGTCCTTTGAAANATATATATATATATATATATATATATATATATATATATATATATATATATATATATATATAATACTATTTATATAGCTAACTTTATTCATGGGACAATTTATTGTTGCAGGATGAGGAACAGTTTTGGAATGAGCTTATAGAAAAATACCTCAGTCCTTTGAAAGAGGACAAAGAAAAACAGGAAGAGATCAAAAATGACCTGCGGGAGCTGAGAAACAAGGTAAAGAAGAGGAACTTGAATGCCTTATATTTGAAGAAGGAAAACTGACATTTTTCTGACCCTGTTTTTATTTTTCTTGCAACACAGGTCACCTTTTCGTTCTTCTTCTTGAATGCTCTATGGCTGGTGGCCGCCTTCATCCTACAGGTCTTCGATGTCTTTGTGATCAAGATAGAAAGTGTTAACATGGATCTTGAGCCAACTGGAGGAAAATTTCAAATTGAACCACTGAGCCTCCTCTTCATCGTGGGCTTTGCTCTTTCAGTTGCGATCCAGTTTTTCGGGATGTTTTACCACAGGTGAGCAATGATCACAGTTTTTTTTTTCTCTCCCCATTATTTGAATACAAAGAGGTAAATTAAATGTAATTATTAATTTTTTTTTTTTCTTTTGCACTTTCAGAGTTGCCACTCTCATTCACTATGTGGCATTTTTGGAAACTGACCCGAAACAACAGAAATTAGCCGAAAAAAAGGTATTTATTTCTGTTAATTTTTCTCAAACAAGACAAATCTGTTGCTCTTGCTTCTACTGTGCCATATCACTGACAGTACTCCAACTGCCAATTATCAGGCGGCTAAGAATCTGTGTAATATCAGCATATTTTCCATTAATGTGCAAAGTTGGCTTTATTAGCTTTGTAAAGTTATGCTAAAAAAGGTTTAAACTTCTAGCAGTACAATTTAGAACTACTTCTTTAATAGATAATAATGAATATATGAGATTAAAAACAGGTTTAAGAAGGCAGCCTAAAGTATATGTTTTCTTCAATACAATACTTTGCCATGCTTGAATGAGCATGATTTTCAAACAAAATATGTTGGCTATATATCGATAACAACTTGAAAATTTGCATTTTTCAGATAAATAAAATGGATGCAAGAGTTATTGGATGGTTTTGCACAAGTAGATACTAAAAAACTCATAATGTATACCGATCATTTTTAGCTTTAAATAATATTATTATGCGTTTCTTTAATAAAAATCATCCGAAAGGCCATTTCACTGGATTCATGCATGTGTGAGTCATCCTCATAAATTTAACTGACTGAGCAGCAGTGCCTCTGTCATGAAAAAACATGTTGCCAGTGTAGGTCCATATAGACATGTCAATACCTGAACCCTCCAGGAAGCACCTACCTTATCTGTGTCAGACCTAGCCAGTAAACAACACACCATAGCATAGATATGAGGCTGAGTGGGGTTATGTCTGTCCAAATATGAGATGGCGTGGCTCTTCTAACACATACTCTAAACAGTGCTGGCTACAGCATCTATTTCTAGTCAAGGGACTCCAAAGCACTATACCCACATTCAGTAATTCACCCATTAACACACATATTTACAAACTGATGTTGGCGATCTAAATTGTAACCTCAGCTGCACTGGGGCATGCTGAAATAAACAAGGCTGCTAAAAACCTACACATGCATGAGGAGAACATGCAATTTCCACACAGAAAGACCCTAAGCCAGGATATAAATATAAAGTAAATATTACAGTAAAATCAGAGGTATTTTAGAATCGAGATCCAACAAAAAAATGTGAGGAAAATCAATACCATGGGTAGTTGAATGTTTTTCAAGATGGTGTAGCACCTTTATCAATTAATGTTCCTTTGATCTCCTTCCTGAAGGACTTGACATGCAGTGCGAGTTCAGAGTCAGGCTTGACCAACAGCGTTGATCTGAGCAACATCACAGATGAAATTCAAGAGGAAACATGGAACAGTGAAACTGACTTTTCAGAACTGGACTTTGGAGAACAAAATGAGGAGCTTTAGGCTTGAAGGAAAACAGTCTCTGGACAAACATACTTTTTGCACTATGATGTTGTTACCTGTTCAGTAGAATATTTTTAATGTTAAAACAAATGTAGCCAACCTTGTTACTGTTAATAACAGATTTCTTGCAAAGGTGTGGCATTTTTTAATATTGTCACTTTTTGTGTTTAATTTGTTTGTATTATATTATATGTAAATATTGCCTTAGAATTATAAATTAACTTATATTTTTAACTACAATGTGAGGAATTAAGGTAGTTCATCTATGAATAGAAACTAACAATTTAATGCAACTTATGTTTAATTTATTCTATGTATCTGTAATTTCTCTATGATTTATGGTTTATTGTAGTACACTGGTCTCATAATTTACGGTTAATGCTATTCTAATATCAGGAGAGGCATAACGCGTAGCAATCAAAACTCATGTATGAAGTAGTCACTTTCTAAATTACCATTTAGGCTATTGATACCTCACTTACATCCTCCACCTATGCATATTAAGTGTATAGCATTGTACCTTTTTGTTGTTTAGAGCATATACATGTTCTGTATTTGTGCAATTCTTTAAAAAAAAAATGTTTTTTTAGTATTGAGAGGATTGAACAGTGTGTAAATTATATTGAAATGTATCCTTACATTATGATATCTACATTTTTCCATTTCTGGTTCGTGATTAATCAGTATTTTTTGTTTTAATTATTTATCATCAATAAAACTTTGTTGGTCACTTTTAACCCATCTGGCCACTTATATTAATTAATTTCCAACTAGTTGGTAGAGATGCATACATCCATTTTCCTCCTGATCCGATCCGATACTGATAGATGGGGTAAACTTATTTGGCGATATCGGATACTGATCAGATACTACTGTTGAATGAATTAACCGTACACCATCATACAAGACATAAACATTGCCAAAATAGGTAACAAATTAACATAGATATAAATCATCACTAGTCTGATTGTGCATCTCTACGGATGGGGATGATCAAATTTACCTTATCATCATATTAATAACTGTATGAATGTTAAAGAAGTCAATGAGCTCATTCATTCCGCTATTTAGTTAATGGATCATCCAAACAACTCTTTGTTTTATGGCCACTGACCCTGCTTAAGACACTCTTAGCCTCTATAAAAGTCCTTATCGCCATTCTAATAATTTTCAAAACTATCTGCTATTATGTGTATCTGATTATTATTATAATAAAATAAACATACCAATACTATTATTATACGTTATTAGCTGAAGAAAAAGCTGTGATGTAGTAGGACAGCCCTCCACCTTCATACAGCTTTAAAACCGACGCACTAAGACTGTACGTCTTCTTTTCCACTGGGCTTCCAGCCAGTAAAGAGAGAGGAACATGAAATATCGTGGAAGGAGATCTGCAGTCCGGCTCTCTCTCTTTTTCCCTGAGTTTTCGGCCTTGGTCTGCCAAACTGCACTGCAACGAACAAAACTGGAATCATCCCTGTGTGAGGAGCCAGCATTGCAGCATACTTTTACGTGTGCACCAGAAGATAAAGCCAGAAGTTTACCACATCGATTAAAGTCTATCAAATTCCGTTGTTGTTTGCATCTGACTGATTCAAATCTCCCCGAGTTGACTAGGTTTTGGAAATGGACTGGTTGTTGGACTGATGCTGTATCTCCCTCCTCCCATCCAGAGTCGACTCACAGTGTACCAAGATTTGCAAATGCGAACTAAAATCAACAAATGTGTAGATCAGTCTGTAAACACACCGAGTGTCATAATCCTGGCGCTGATTGTTGGTTATTTTTCCTCTGCTCCTGCTCACCTGCCTAATTGGCCCTGTGGCTGATTACTGCCAATCTGATTGACCTGGTCCCTGCAGCTATTTAGGCTGTTTGCTTTCCTGCCATTAGCATCGGATTGCTCAACCTGTGTCAGTGTGAGTTACCCAAGCTGTCAAAGTAAGTGGAATTCTTCTTAGTTTTTTTGCCCATGTGTTTTTGGTTTTTGCCTTTTTCCCTGTCTGCCCTGCTCAGTTTGGTTTTCGGGTTCGCATAATCCCTCACGGACACTGTAGCTCGCTCTGCGTCCGCTGGTGCCGGCTCCCCCGCGCTTTCTTCTCTGAAGACCGCAAGCGGTGGATTGTCTCCCCCCCGGGTTTCTCCTCTCTGAGTTTCGGACTGAACTCTCAACCAGGTCAGACTTTTTGCTTTCTTCTCCACTCTTCATTCTTGTCACTGACCTGAGTTTCTTGTCTCAGCAGAGAATCAGAGAACCCACTCTGAGGAGTTTCCACCATCCTCTTTCTGTTATTTTTGAAATAAACTTGTTTTGAAACTTTCTGTTTGTCTGCTGAATATTAGGTCCAACCTTCAGTGCGCGTTACACCGAGACACTTAAGTTTGAAGTATAACACCAAAAAATACGGAAAAATCATTGGTTACAAGTCATGCAGTTTCTGAGTTGGCTCTCTTGACATACAGGATTTTGTGGGTGAGATCTGCATATGCTAGATAGGATTCATATGTGTTATATCTGGATTTGCTGTCCTGAGCACAAGCTTGCAGGCTATGGGAGTTCATGTGCCAAGGAAAGATGGCTACTAACAACGAGATGGATCAGACGTTTAAGGCTACCAATAATCCATTGGTAAGCTACTTTTTTACAAAAATAATCCCCTGATAGAAGGAAGACGCACCCTTCAAGCAAGTGAACCTGAGGGTTATTAATAAATACATTTTTGTACACTGTGTTCTTTTAAAATATGTGACTTCTATTTTAAAGGCATGTGGATTCCATACCTGGAATCCAGTGAAGGAGAACTGATTAGTCATAGACTTTGAAGTTGTGATGTATCTTTACAAGTTGTCCTCCCTCCGCTAGGGAGGAGAAGCACTAATTGCCTTAAGCAATTAGTGCTCCTCTTGAAGCCTGAAGCAATGAGTGTTACCGAAAAGAATTCTGCAAAGCATGTAAATAAAACCTGTAAGGATATAAGTTGTTAACTGCATACAAACAAACTTGTGCTTTAGGACTAACAAAAATGATGAACAATGATCAGATGTCAAGACATCAGTTTAACTGACAGATCTAAAATGGATCTACCAATTATCTAATCCACCAGACAATAACTTAACAAGAAGGGACACCTTTTACTTCAGATCCAATCCCATGTTGATGCCTGGGCTGAGCATATCGGCTGATACCCGCTAAAATGCTAAATGGCCTGTACTTTTTCAAGACAGGAGACTTCAAAGCACTTTACACTACATTCAGTCATTCACCCTGGGGCTAACTGACAGACGCAAGGCTGCCGTACACTGGCGCCACCGGGCCCTTTCATCAGCAGGCAATGCAGGTGAAGTGCCTTGCCCAAAAACACAATGACACTGAAAGCCGGAACCGGGGCTTGAATCGTCAACCCTTCAATTTCAGGGCAAATTCCTATAACTGAAGCCAATGTCGCCCCAACTGCTACTGAACTGTTGAAGGAATTATCTGTATACCTTGCAACTGCAGTATAGAAAATATGCATGCCTAAGGTCACATTCACTTTTACTTATATATAGCACACTTAAATGCAAAACTGACAGGCGTGACTCAGCATGCCAAAATACCTGCCCACTATAATGTGTGTATTTATAGCAGGGACAATAATGACACAGAAAACTGTGATTAAAAGGAAAGGCATTGATTAAAAACAGTTAATGCATAATAACACGGGAGTACAAAAGGTCAATGCCAATGAGGAGGGAAGAAAGACGCCACGAATATATATATATATATATATATA